AACTGTACGCTAAAGGCACTAGGGCGAACATACCATTTTATGGATGAAGCTTGCGAGCCGTGAGTGACCGCGTCGTTTTGAAGGCCCTTCTTGGAGTTGGGCTAATAGACAAACATTTAGTTTGCTCATTATTGCTTGTTATTGTTATAAAGATTATTTGAATTTTCAACCTGTTAATATCTCGTCGTAATGAATCGCCTAAGACCTATGTCACCCTTAGTACTATGACAAATAGAATCGTAATATTCTCTTGTTAGTTCTTATCTCGCCCTCATTCATCTAGATAAATTATGAGTATCGATATTTGGTAGAAACTTAAGGTTAATATGGAGTAATAAAAAAAAAAAAACTATATTGTAAGATATTTGATTAAAGCTTATGTATCATGTACATGTCAGTTTATGCGGCCTTCTATTGATGTTTTGACATTGATCAATTAGACACTTTAATGTTAGTTAGTCGATCATATGTTAAAAAAATAAAAAGAGGCTATTTAATTTACTATTAAAAAATGTTAACAAAAAAATGTATTTGTTCCAGCAACTTAATTCCAGAATAATAGATCCTATTAACTTAGTTTATTACAATTGAAGTTTTTCTTAAATTATTCTTCACTATTTTACATTGAAAGGCTCAAACGAACATGGATTAAGGGAACGACCGCTCTACAATCGGTGAATATATATATATATATATTTCTATGTATTGACAATGTTTGAGCGTGACCGTTCAGCCTATCTGATTGAACCACGCATTAACACATGTTAACAGATTATAACAGTGGTGCTTTTATTCTACTGTGCTATAAAATATATTCCAGCATTCAAATGTGCGCGCGCCTGGCATCAAATTTGATAATTATACATCAGGACACGTTCTAGTTGAGAAAATTCTCTTCCTAACAGAGATCAGAATGAAATCGCAAGGACTCTGCAAATTTTCGCTGTTATTAATGCTGAAGGCCGCAGGACGAAACGATGAGTTTTGATCTTCAACTCGTTAGATATTCGTGTTTTATTTCTTAATCAAAGTTTGCAGTGATATTGTCCAACGCAGATCCTCCTCAGTATTAGTATGGTTTCAAGTAAAAAAACATACTTCACTTCCGTTTAAGTTGCCTCTGGGGTATCAAACGTTCAAGTGGTTCTTGTGTGAGGTAATTAACATCAATTGGCCGGCCGGTCACTGTATGATTTTTTTCCAACCTGTTCCTGACCATCCTTTTGCATACATACATTACCACCTAAAACATCGAACCGAAATCACCAATAGCCTCCAAACAGCGAATTCTAACTGCACTAACTGCTTCCCGTTTGAAGCTCACCCATTTGTACTTATTGATTAAACCGTATGATTTGTTCTCCGAAAAAAATGCTCTGCCATTTCTCTCGACTGATCCTATTCCTACGTTTAGACGTGATCGCTCATTGCGGGGCACGTTATGTCTCCTAAGGAATTGCTTGAGTATCATTGGTTAGCTTCTCTTTACATTCGCTTTATTTCCCACAGTCTTCGTGAAAAATCAATTTTGGCATTATGATTGCTTACTTAACAAAAGTATGGTCTTATCAAGTCCCAAATTGAACGTAAAGATCGCATTTCGCGTGTCCCAATTCGTACACTAGATTTACTTTGCCACCAAATAGACCATGGTTTTTCCGTTAACTTACTTCTGTCCAGTTCTTAAGCTAAAAGTGAGTCCGTCACCAAAATGGCGGCCAGCCAGCCGTCAGCTACTCAACAAATGTACAAGGCGTATATATATATTCTATTGGCGAAGATCAGGTAACTTTTGAAGCGTAAATACCATTAGCTAAACACTACATTAACAATTTTAATAATCATTATGATGTTTTGATTGCTTTTTTTTTTTTGTTAATTGACCGTCACCCCTTGCATGGCCGGTAAGTTGAAACTACGCCGGTCCTATATTACCGATGAGCTCTACGGTAAGACACTGATTTCAAAGAGGCATCTAATTCCTATCGGCACAATCAGCATTTTACAAGCAACCACTATCATTTAATTGGTAGTGTTCTGACCAATAAATTAGCTAGTTGATCTTCATTACCAATGCACGTGTATTTTCGAGAGTTAAAAATCCAGAAATAGAGGCTAGTTTTTATCTAATATTTGTGAGAGAGAAAGAGTTCTATGTAGCTGTAAATCTGTGTTAAAATCAATAAAAAAAAAAATTAAATGATATCAATAAAACTGTTTATGTTATACTCCAGATAAAATTAAATTTAAAATGATAGGCTCACCAACTTTACGCTTACAAAAGCATGATTTATCTGATAATTATGATTTTTCTTAATCTTAATCATTACTCAAAATACCGAACGTTAGTTCCAAACGTCATCGAAAACTCTCCACCTTAACCTGAAGTAATGATGGATGCAAATATGGATGGCAAAAATGAAACTTGCTTGAAACGGAATAAGTAGCACAAACCTGAAATTTAAATTTACCTGAAACCCACGACAAATTAACCATAGTCCACACGTCCGTCTCGCGTTCATAAATCTTTAACACCACTCAATATTAAGTAAAGCCACCCTTCAGATATTTATTCAGGCCTTATTCTACTTATATAGACAGCAAATGACCTGTGAACGAAGAGCACAAAAATAATTTGTTCATATGACCCCTTTTTATGAGAGTTCACACTGCCTCCCTCTTCTGAACAGGAATCAATTCAAATACCCACTCGTGTTTCGGTCACAAAAACGTCCCTATGTGTGTGTATGTTTGCCTCTTTAGTTCTCGATAATCGAAGTTGTTCGCTGAAGAGCGAATGAATACAGACAGAACGTGAGAAAAACGCGACGAACAGAAGTTATGCGAAAGGTACAACGACTCGACCTCACTATTCACGTGAGAGGTTGATGGCGGTAGCCTGTGTGGGGACGCATAAGAGTGAGCGACGAAGCTTTAAAATCAAATTAGAAACATTTGCAATTCTCAGCAGAGTATACCCGCACTTCCAGTGTGCTAACGCTAGGTGACTGGCTCTACGACCTGCGTTTTAGGTACACATCACACATTTTGATGTAGAATCGCACAGCACTCCGATGTGCCCCATCGTCCGCTCGTCTTCCCCGTCACCGAATACATGAACGAGGCCAATGCCAGCGCAGGGGTAGGGATTTCTCCTTGTTCCCACTTATGTTCAGTGAGTAACTACGTAGCCGCTTGAAATCGGCCCCCCTTCATTGAGAGCGCCGTTGATCTTGTCCCGCTACTCGTGCTTCTACTGTCGCTGTTGTGTTTTCAGACACACAACGAAAAAGCGACGGGCTTGGCAACCGAGTGACTCGTGGAAACGCCGGCCCGCCTCGCGCCACTGAATCCGCCTCTCATTTCTCATTCGCTTTATTCTCCTTTGCCTTCGTCTGACTCCATGTGCCTGTCTGTCTTTCTGACTATTTCATCCCGTCGAACAATTCCATGCCTCCTCTCCCCTTGTGCAATGTCCTTAATACATTTCCTCCTAAATACACATTATACCCCTCCTCATACAATGGCAGGCGTAGGGCTGACGCGATCAGGCTGAGCAAAATGCCGTCGCAGGCCAACACACACTACTGGTTCTGTATAAACGGCCTTTACTACTAAGTCAGCAATCTGCCATTGCGCCAGTTCGCGCATGTGTGTGGTCGGCCGACAGATGTAGGTTTGCCCTCAAAGAAAAAGTGGCACGCTGCGCGAAGAAGAGAATTCAAAGAATAATTATTTCACTAGGAAGCAAGTAGAAGCAAGAACTGGGAGCTGAGGACAATGGGACAGCGGAGGGGGCGCGCTCGGCCAAACGACAGAGTCTTTTCACCTCCACAGTCGTTATCGCTTCCGTCACCAGGAATATCATCGTCATTGTTGATTTTTACCGATTCGTTTCCAGAGTCTGTAAGAAAGCTGCACACATGATGCTAGTAACTCCTGCAACGGTGGACGTCACCTGATTGCAGTCGCCTGAGTGGTAACCCTTTTGTGCGTCGTTGCAATTGACACAGCCCGGATGCAGAGAACGGCCTACGTCGTACGGTGCTAACTTATGTTCTCATTTGAGAGACGGACTCAAGAGAAAGAAAGAGACAGAAATTGTGATAGCCTAATATATTGTTTGTAGAGAGACTACAGGTTATTTTAGAGTTTCGATTACTGCCTTATCATTCGGTCTTTTCCGTTTATCATATCTACGATCACGTACGATGCGCACGGGTCACAGGAAATCTGCTAGAAGTCGTTGCTGACTCAACTCTGGCAGGTGGGTAGTTAGGAGTCAGATGCGCCGTTGAAATCAAATTTGCAGCTGTTCTAAGCCGAGCTGTTCAGAGATTAGGGATAAGCCTTCTGTTTTACCTGAACTCCACGGTACGTATGATTGATACATATGACGATACACGCACTTGGCTAACTGGTGAACCAAGTTAATCATTTATCAAGCTTAGTGGTCTCCTGGATACTATATTCAACGCAACCACAAGCCCTACGATACTTGTACACTATAAAATGGTCATAGTGAACGCGGTCCAAGCTATTAGTGCCGTAAAAACGTAAACAAGTTTCGTAGCGGAACCCGTTGGCTTCCTGGTAGAATAAAGGTCTAGACTGTATATCTTGTTGAAAACCAGAACAGATGCGATAGCTGTTCAGAGACCCTAGTATCAATACAAGGTCAGCCTGTTCGCTGTTTAAGTCTACACCGAGAGCGAACGAAGCGTCATTCAGTTTTATTTTTACCCTAAGGAAAAGGTCCACTAAAAAAAACCTGCTTCACAGTAAAGATGAGGGTGGATTGCCGGCTGACCTTTGAAAGCCGGTAACTGTCCTTACCGGAGATGGATAGCCATGGGGGAAGTGACGTGAGTGCTTCTGTAATCCAAATCGGAAGTCGGATACAGCATTTGGAAGGGAAACAAAAATCTGGCCGGGTACGATTGTATCTAGAGAGAAACAACGAAAGCTACCTATAAGGGGTTTTGTGAATTATTGATAAAACGAGCAGTAACCCTGTTGAGCGCCATAATCATACCATAATGTATACAACTGGAGTACGAAATGGATTAATATATTCTATCAATACTTAACTTGACCTTAGCAACTGAAAAGAAATAAGCTCAGTTCGAGAAAGTTATGGTAAGAACGGTCGTGATGTTCTAAAGATAGCTTTCAACTTGTAAAGATACATTCATATTTCAGTTAATCATAGGTTATGCATGGGCATAAAGCGAATCACAAACCAAGTATACTTACTATTCTCTATGTTAGCATGTCTAGCATTGTTGTGCTAACTTTTTAATTAATAGTATTGGTATTTGCCCTGGGTTAAGTAAGCTTTCGCATCACAAAAAGCTACTAGTGTTGTGTAACGCATTAGCTGTTTTTTTTATATATATATATATATATATTGCCACACACTCAAGCTTACACGGCCGTAGATTCGACCAGGTGCAATTAATCCGTTTTGCTAGATCTTTCACTAGCTGGCCTCATTCGTTACATGTTGTTGTTTTTGTCGTCGTCTTGGCCTTCCTCTTGCTTTATACCAGCTAGGCCAGCGCGTGATGAGGATACTTTGGACCATTGCAGCAGCAGCCTAGTGGGGTTTTCGACGCTTGATGGCAAACATCAGCGGTGGGTACGTACCACTTCCCGTAAAGCCACCAGAGATAATGCTACTGTAAATGATTCCAGTCGGTCGCCGTTAACCAACAAGCCGACGAGTCTCGTAATCGCCCCCTATAGCTACTGCTGCAGTCGTCCTCACCACCTTCGCCACCAAAGACGGCGTTGTCGTTGGAACCGCAAGCCAATAGGATCTCCCGCCTCCTTCTAACATTGCTTTGTTTCCGTTACCATCACAGTGTTTCAGGCTGATAACGTTCTCGAGGCTGCCACCATCACGCCTCGCAGCCCATAACTATACAGATGTACCTTAAAAGTCCCCTTTCATGGGGAAGAATAGAGGGAATCGCAAACACGCATGCCAGCACAGTGGTACGACGGCGTCGTACGCATGTGACATGACGTGCATTGAATACAGAGAAACACCATAACGATTATATGCTAGAAACGGAAATAATCGGCTCAATGCGTAGGCAGGCGCAAGTTGGGATGGAACGAGAATGGATGAACGACGGGTGCGGGGCGGGGGGATTATATCAGTTGTGGCTTTATGGCCAATGAGTCGGTTGGAAGGATCGGTTCGAAAAAAGAGAAAGCAAGGAAAGCAACAGCGAGAGAAGAACGGTTTAGGAGATATATCTAGGCCATATTGATATTATATAATTATTACGATTGCAATTGTTCTATAGGGGACTATGATTATATCTCCAAAAAAGGCTCTTGTACGATATCCGTCGAGCGTATGACCTGTTCTGTGTGTTACTCAGTGAATTACTGCATGATATCATTCCAGGTGAAGCCTTTGATCGAGCATGGAACATAGCGAAGTACGAGGGCAAGCGTCAATATCCTTTCAACAAACATCGGATGAGCTCAATATTATGTTATGTCCTAAGAGCTATGCAAGGTAATGTTAGACAATTAAATGCCTTAGGTGCATTGTATGAATGGTGTGAACCGCACGACTCGAATAATTAGGTTATCTCTTCCAATTTGACTACTCCTTTATACGTGCCTCATTAATTAGGTTGCTTTCTGAAGCTTTGTGAGAAATTAAACTTCCAGTACGTCTGAGGTATGTATAATTTCCATAGCAGGCTTGCTAGCCGTATGGGAAAGTTGCTGACTTTTATTCCCAGCCATATTTCGCCTAAATTGAGAAGATGGACTCTGCAATAGAAGTTTGAACTTTTTTAACCAGGTTTTAAATTGGATTTCATTTAGGATTGACGAAAATGTTAGGCATGCCGGCCTTAAGTTACTACCCCATGTTACTTAAAGTAGTCGTTAAAAGACAGTTAACTATTTCAAAGCACTGAAAAGAGAATTAGAGATATTTGTCCTGATTTTTGCCTGTCTCGAATCGAACGACTCAGGACGTACTGAAAGCTTTAGCAAACTAGAAGCTGTACACCAAGACTCGCATGAGTTTGTTTTTGAAATCCATCAAAATGAACATATTTATAACAGTAAATAGTAAGAATCGACAACCGCCGTACAAATCATCATTAAGATTGAAAATGTGTTTAGATGGAAAGACGATTGTGTCGACGTTATTTGTCCCTTTGTCGTACAATTTGGTCTCGCAAGATAGATGCAGTTTTTATAGCTAGGTGCGACAGGAAAAGTACGTAAAATATCAGGGTACCATTACGGTAGTACATATGCATGGACTGAAAGAGAAGTTAAAGAAGACCTAGAATTTGATATATATATATATATATATATATATATATATATATATATATATATATATATAAGCATACTCTAATAAGCCTTTTGAGGACCTTAGAATTGACCCTTAGATTGACCCAAAAGATATGGCAAAAGCCATAAGGGAAATTAAGTTTACGCCCACAACAAACACGTAGTCTGACGTCTTCGAAAAATACTGAAGAGGAAAATTAACTTTAGTTTTCGATAAATATTTGTACAGATGATCAAGGATATTAATTCTCGTAGTGGCCGGAAAATTCTGCAAACATTTTTGGACCAATTTTATCAAAACCCGACTGAGGTTCTGTAGAAAACCTTAATGTTTGCAAGCGCTGTTGGGCATGCGTCGTGCGCTAAGACGCGCGATGTGCCGGACGCAATCAATCGAATTTGGAAGGACCCTATTTCGAGTCTTGTGAGTGATGAATGAATGAATGAATGAATGAAAAAATTGTACGATGTTGTTGGCCGAAGCATTACGTCTCGAGCAAAATTTACAAACTACAGCAGAAGTTCTACGCCGAGTATATGTGAAACAGCTTAACACTTGCCAACACCGCCATGTTTAAGTTCTCGCTTAACCACAATCTTAAATTCCGTTCTTCCAGATTGCGCGTTTTAGCAGTTCTCTTGTTAAACGAGACCTACAAAATGCCAGTTCTACCACATTCACCTTCTACAAATTTCAGTTGTATCCAGTCGAATGAGAAATATGAATTCTGTATTATTATTATCACTATGTTCGAGTCCCAGTACCTGTATCATACATGTAATAGATAACATTGTCATAGGCTACGACAATGCACCCGGTCAGCTTATCTTTCCCTCCCTTTGATCTTTGATCAAATAGATTAGATGGAAGAAGGCCACTTCATCATCGTTGTCTACCAGATTGACCCTAAATTGGCCATCTCACCATCCATCTCTACGACATACAGCGAAACAGATTTGATCGCGGTCACACAAATGCTATACGAAGGATCCACTCGCCGGAGCCGTCTTCCTGCCGTGAAATTTCCTTCATCCTTTTTATCGTTTATCGTTCCTTATGTGTAGAAGAAGTGGTGCTTAAACCAAAGTAGTTTCCTCCAGGCCTGACTTGCTACACGCTTGTTTTAGATGGCTAGGCCCTGTGCACACAAAGCAGTGATCGAAAAAGGCTCGGACTTAAAAATTTTCCACGTGCAATTCTTATAGTGCACTAGAAATTTCGTCTTAATCGCCTGCTGCCAGCGCCTGCTAACGCTGCTGGTGGACCAGCTAGCGAAGGGAAAAGCAGCAGTGATGGTGCTGCTGCTGCTGCTGCTGCTGCTGGGTTTTTGCCCAGCCGAATCGCTCGCTAATCTATTAATTAAGTGAGAATGTTATTCCGTTGCTTCCGTCAGCTTCTCATCCAGGCTTGGACTATCTGTCTGGGACCCTTAACGTGCCGGGAATGCTGTCAGTTACAGTTAGTGCTGCTAGAATGGCAACAAAATGGGTTGTCTGGACAGAACAGGACCGACAAGATGGGCAAAAAAGAGAACCCCGTTTTCAGCAGCCACCTGCCTCCTATCTTTCGTCCCTGGTTTATTCTCGAGACTGACCGGTCCAGTGGTGGCGATCACAACTGCATCTACACACTGTTAAATCAATCGTTGAAGCTGATGAAGACGGAAGGCAAGTAGATCTCAACGACAAATTTTTCTTCTTTAATTTTCCGAGTAGTTATTCTAATCATGTGGTTAAGTGTCGCGATCTATGTATGCGATAGCAAAGCAGGATATTGTGTATGATATCCAACAGTTACGATCAAACAAATATATAATCTTTCCATGTGAGCCTTGATTGTGAATCTCCTTTGACCTAGTAAAATATGCTCGTATATAGACTAGATACGCTGAACAACGTATACTTATACGCACTTTCATTCACAGGCCCCACAAAACTGTTTTCTACATAAAGTTTACTCTAGTAACAAGCAATACACATTTTTATCAAATCATAAAATATAAATTATGTTGTCTTCAACAAATCGAGGCAACGGTCTGTTCTCACTTACTTACGTTTCAATTTCAAATAACCTAACCATGCCCCAAAAAATATTTTTTCTATTGCGACCATTCAGTAAATCAAAGGAACCGCTGCTGAGGCTAGTAGCGAATAATATTGCCTAAAAAATGATGAAGACTAATTATGAATATAGTATGCCTTTTTATACTACGAATTTAACTAAAAAAGCGTAGACCCTTGGCGGAAATGTTTAATATGCTTCACAAGCGCTTAACAATGGAATTATTTACGTGCGGCTAAAGGACCTTGTTCACAATCTAAAGCTAAACTGTGTACTTCTTATAACTAAGTAACATAAATTGCTCTTGTTATCGTAAATATTTCCGCTGCTAGAATCTGTTGTGTCACTCGAACGCCCATCATTATTTACAAGTTAAACCATGAGAAGAATAAGTGGAGGTAACTAGCTAACCTTAACAAAGATTCCAATGTACCGTAGCTGCGTCGATTCATATGTGTCTTTGCGAATATACCCCAGAATGCCCGTGTCTTCAAGTACGGCCAACTATCTCTGCACCATTTCGCTGAAAGGCTACTATTGAAGCTTAATACAAGCCACTTTTACTTGCATTTATATTATTATGTAATCGTTTGGTCAGCTATTCATGGCTAGCATGATTACGCACTAACTGACAGAGCATATGCATGTACATGCACAATAGTATGTGAACCAGCGTATGATTTTCGTCGAACGCTTTCCAGCCTCGTCATTCATAGCTCACCGTAAAGGATTACTACATCTCTCTCTTTCGTTCCCTGGTCCCGTTCCTCTCTCCCTCTTGCTGAACTATCAAGGCTTTCATTCCTTCCTGCGCATGCAAATATATGTTACTATGTAGGCGTATTAGTACGTGGCCTCTGACGGCAATAGTTGGTTACAGTGTTGACAGCAAATGTTGCATGTTTATGCGTAGACATGCGCCTACGATACGTTGTGGCATGCAAGATTGGTCGTCCATAGGCGTGCACCTCACGTGCTGTGTTCGGGTCTCTACTAATACTTTTCAAAGTCCCCTACGCTTAACTGTGTAGACTTTTCGTTTTCTCCCCCGATTCCACCGTTACCTTTCATTGCAATGTACGAATCCATATCCCCTCCAGCTATCCTGCCTACGTTCCCTTTCCATTCTGATCTTGTCCATGCTCGTTTACAACCTACACTTCCCTCTCTCCCCTATGCAACGCCTCTAAAAGCCCTCTTTTCGCTATCTCTCCTACGGTTCGGCTTTCCGCAGAGGGAGGTATGTTACTCGGTCTCACAGAACATTCTCGGCTTATAACGAAGGCAGATGAGTCTTATCAAGAGAAATACACACGCTCTCCGTTCTGCTACATGTGTTAACTCGAACGTCGATGCTTTCAGTTACCCCTTAGCCTGTCCCCCAACAGCTTGCTAGTTTATATATTGTACTAGTAATGTTACTGCTATGCCCAGCTCATTCTCGGGTAACCGTTGGTGAATGCAGTAAGGCAAAGAATTACAGGCGGCACTCTTCTTTCACGATCGGGATTGCAGTCAACACAAAGCGGCAACCGCAGTCGCTTAAACGAGTAACGGGCTTCATTTTGATGAATAAGATTCTGAAACGTTTTGGTTGTGTGGTCTTTGTCCGCATCGACGCCGGTTTTTTCACGCATGCATCCATGTTCTCTGTCTTCCTCTCGTGTTGTCACTCGCAGTAAGCTAAAGCTTCACGCCCATCTAAAGCCCCATTCCCACCAATGGCTACAGCGCCGGTATGAATTCAGTGTCGGCGTTCGCTCGTTCTTTCATCCCATCCTATCTATACTTACTTGCAAAGGGCATCCGCCTAAAACACGAAGAATTCTGTTTCTTTCGTTACTTCATTAAAATATGCAGGAGTACTATAGTCAGAGCCCAAATTTATTAGCAGAACAAATTTCTAACATGGAGGATTAAATCGATAAAATTTTGGCAGTCTAGACTAAGCTACGGATGCCTTTGCTGGCTGGTATTATAGTGGCCGATCCTATTTTGAGTTATGTTATTATTCATTTACATTATTTTATTGCATTCAAGTATTTTCAAAACAAACTAGGGTAGTTGGCAGCAACGTTACTGTCGTACTACCTCTCGACGAAACGTAGTTGCTCATTTAATGAAAACTAATTATTAAATAATATTAATTGATTACATTTAAACACTAGGTAACGTTTATCGTTTATGAACAATTATTTGCTACATAAAGCCTTTAGGTCAAAAAAGTCATCGAAACAATAAGCTGTTGGAACGCGAAACAGCTGCGTCTGCAACGCCATAACCTGGCTATGGAGCAAATCACAACACTGGTCCATTGTATGACCCATATTTTATACTAAACTGACTCTGCTGAGTATCGCTTAATGTTTGACCTTCTGGAATTAACTGTCGTATTACTGTGATTAATTAGCGACCAATCATTCAGTGCATATGTTAGCTGTGGATTAAGATCCATTGGTGAAGATCACGGTCCGCGTTATTGGAACAACAAATATTGGCAGAGACATGCTGCGAATTTTATAATTGATGATCATCTACCGGATTTAGTGGTCTTTCATTTGATTCCAAATTAGGTCTTATATTCTCTCTTTCTTCTCTATAGACATACATTTACTAACCTTACGAACGATCCTTTATGCAAAAATTGATTAATTACTTGAGTTCTGTCGTTGTTGCTAGTTTCCAGGTTCGACTGAAGCTTCTTAACGGCGAACTGTTTGCGTATGACGAATGTCTTAGGGGGCTTCCGCTATTCCCTCGGATCTCCTTTCTCTTCGTCTCAGTTATTATAAGCCAAAGAGAGTTTACATAGCCTTGTTTGCATACCACCATAAGTGTGTGTGTGCCACTGCATACAATGTAATTGCTTGACTAACTACATTGCGACAATTCCAGGATAAGCAGTCCTTTGAGAACTACTAGAATATCCTTAGCAAAGGTCTGTTTCTACGGCTTTTACGATGACGGAACGGTTGGTCACAGCAGGAGAACAGGGTGAAGAGGTCCTTTCAGAATGGTGATAGCTAGGAGAGTTACTGAGCGGCTATGAATAGCTGGTTGGCGGACAAACAGAGAAGAAGCGTCCTGCTGCTTCTTCGGGTCACGGCTTCGTTTCCCTACTCAAGAACACTGAAACGCTTGCGCCAGCAAAAGGTTCACTAGGTAGAGAGGGCCCGGTATTATACATTCAGGCTATACAAGTGCGAAATGAATGCCGGCGGGTGAGGTGACGTTGACGAGTATCTCTCGTTAATAAAGCTAAGAGAAATACATCTCTCGTCAACTCTCTTTGCAGAGATGCATATTGCCAAATTGCAGATGAAAACAATAAAACATACCTTTGTCCAAACGATATTGTTCTATAATAAGCAAAATTCGGACAATTGATCAAACACAGCATTCTGCATAATCGCCAATGACGATTAAGTTCGTCATCATTTCACAGATACATGTGATACCGTATAGAGACATTTGGTTAGAGGGAAATGTTTTCAAATGTATATATCAAACATTTGACTATAGTTCCCGGTCACTAACTGCACATCCGACTTGTAGTGAAATTGAACCCCGTGTCCTTACAGTTCCCTGCTAGCTAAGATTCCTCACAAAATTTCCGTCAATGCATCAAGGTCTTCAGGACTACGCTCTGTATCGTTTGCCTGGTTTTAACAGTTGAACTAGCGATTGCTCCGAGAAGTACGTAACTTTCCGCTAATATAATGTGCAGTGATTTAACCATGCACCACTATCGACAACGGACAACCTTTGGCCCGTCTTAAATATCTCATTGCTCCATATCTTTATTGCCTCCTGTGGGCCAAGTGAGGTGGAAAACCCAGAATACGAAGCACTTAAAAACTTGAGATCTAGCGGCATTGTAAGCACAGCTAATACGAAAAGAGCTACATGGCCGGCCGTATCAGCAGTTTGAAAGGAGTGGTCGAAAGCAGTAACACAACGAACGAATGGACTAAGCCAAATTACAGAGAGCAGGTCGAAACATTGACAAGACGCCGGACAGTAGCTATTAGTTATTTCATGCGACGCCAGAAAGTGTCCTGTTCCTGGTGGTTGGGCTGCAAAGAATCCCGAAAAATAGAATCGGAAAGAAGGTCAGTTTTGTGACAGGGTAATATCCACTTGTAGTGGCGTCAGCAATAGCTACCAGCTTTTCTCAGCAACCTCACTAGTCTTCTTCATCATTCAGTAATCACACCAATGTAAATTGACATAAAAATGTCAGCCCTACGCATCACCGCTCCAAGCACTTCTTTGTGCTCCACTCTCCGTGCCCTCCACAGATCTGTGAATGACCCTTTCCGGTTTCTCGTACCACACAACGGGCTGCCAATAAGCCCCACGACCTATTCAGCTCAAAAGGTTCGCAGCGACACTGTATAGCAGATGATTCTGCAGGCGTTATTGTCAAGTGCCCTTGAAGAAAGCATCGGGTTCATGTGGTGATAATTAAGCCACACTAGAATTTTAAATGTTTTAAATTTTCCAATCCTAAATTTCAAATTTGTCGGACGTAACTATATGGTGCGTAACAAACGCAATAAGTGCATTGTCTATATTGATTACAGACGTCGAAGCCTCTCGGTCAGAACTATGGTTTTCAGGTACTCACAAAAATCCCTGTACAAAAAAAGGCTGCATACGTCATGAATTACATCGACTTCAGATAAACTGCTCAAATGTATTGGCCTTTTGTATATTGGGAGATAAATATTCGTCACTTTTTAAAAATCAATCTCGGTAATTCCAAACAAACAACTTCTATTAAACAAAGACAGTAGTGGATAATAACAGAATAGGCTTAACGCTTTCTGAGATTGTCCCTTAGCATGGACTGTCACAAACCAAACACCTAAGAATACTAAACTTCTCTTAATTGTTGCAATTATAAGCAAGTTCCTGATTGAAACTTGAGTAATGACCTGCGTTACTGATCCACACTGGTGACATGGCGTGCCCACGATTGTCCCTGTACTCGTACGAGAGCTGCTTATGAGCACGTCGGGGCCAATGGTTTGTGGTTCGAAAGTTTTAAATATCAGCTGGTGCTTTCTAACTTTCTATTATGTATTGTAGTAGCATATAATAGTGGTAAGCTATTTAATATTTTTGACAGTGTATGAACAGTATGTAAATGTATTATCGCTAAAAAAAAACCAGATCGGATTTTTACCGGCTAAGGGTGCGTTAGCCATTTGAAGCTACTATATGAAGAGAGAGATGTTTGCGAAAGTCCAATTGCCGAGATCAGACTCGTCCTAGTTGAAAATTTGGCAAAAATGTTTACGCATTGTTCCATTGCGTCCGAACAACTTACTTGAACCAAATTTAATAGGTTCTGACTACGTTGAAATGGTGGATAGCCTTGGACAAGCAGGCCTGAAAGCGAACCTGCTACGAGCTCAAGAGATATCGACTTTTCCTTCTCTCTCAGTATTAGTTTAAATAAAAAAATGTCTCGCTTAGACTCTCAATGATTTGATTGTCTAGTAAACGGTAGAGGGTAGGACACGACGCTTGTCCACCGAGAATATCGCATTCAGTTGTCCTTTAGCGAGCAACTAGCTAGTTTACGGGCATATATATGAACTGTCTTTTTCATTGCTAAATAGCTAAAGGAAACAACTATAAACATGTGGGTAAATCATATGATCGGCTATTGTTGACAACTAATTAGTCTGATTCACGCTGTTTCTGTTAATGCATTCGTCTGGGGGTAGCTATTGAAGCCTTGCAGGCGCAATAATCACGATTAGAACGAGTCGCGACCCTTAGCGCCATGGATATTATGTTGTTGTTGCTATAGCAACTTTGAAGGCGAGCGGACTTTTCAAGTTTTCGAATTATCTCAATGGACTTTTTCGAAACTCGTCTGCTAGACAAGGCGACCATGCCTAGTCGAGGAACGAATTTAGCGACTCCGTTATTTAGTTCGAAAATCTTCGAAATTTTCCTGGAAATTTGTTTTCGCCAAGTGACGCAACGCATTGAAAATGTAAACTATCCACTTGAGGATAACTAGTCGTGTCTACTGTAAGTTTATTCTTTTTTTTACCGTTATTAGTAAAGAAGGATTTGACCTTTCTTAACATTGTAGACTTTTTAACATTTCTCAATGAGGCTCAGAGTGGTCCTCTTCAAATTTTCTAGGTTTCTGTTGCCCACCTAACGACTCGGCTTCTGCCATTCCGTAGCAGATCGTTACTGTACACTTCAATGCAAACTGAGATTACAGGTACTCTGGACGAAACAGAGAACAAGCGGCAGACTCACCTCCATGCTCATTTTATTACAAAAAAAAAAACAAATTACTTTACTGAAATCGTCGATACTACGGAAATCCTAACTGTTGTTTTTCCGTTATTTAAGACTACAGTCGGCCTATAAAAATACGCCTCAAATTTTAAACGTGCATCATAAAAGAATCGTTGAAACTAGGCTACTGAATTTCTAGACGAATGAACGATGATTACAAAATCACACAGGCACAGTCGATTTACCTGACTTTTACGTTAGTAACCGTAATTATTTCTATTTCATTACACTTTAACTTGATTGAATGTTTTCCTTTTAAGTGCAAACTTAGGATTGGCAGCAGTTTATAGGAGACTTTTTATTACTACTATACTTCTAGCAAAAATCTTTGGAAGAGTATAATGTACGCTATAGACAATATTTGTTGCATCGGATCTACAAGGAACCAGTTGCTATTGCCAGCAATTTCACTCATTAAGCATCGTAAAGCAAATACACTCCATTAGTAAATCCTCTTTCCCTTTTTTAGTCGTTGTTCCGCGCTGTGTCTTTCCTTCTGGATGTTACAGAGCGTCTCCCATAGACGTGGTACAGGTGTATCCAGATCTAGAAGATATACCCGTCACTGTCTACGGAAGGAGCTTGCAGGTATTTATTCGTTTGTTAGCACAAAGGCAGCGCGAGACAGGCCAAGTTATCGAACGGTATCCACGACAAAATCGCTGCGGCCCCAACAGTTAATACCGACAGCAATGGGTCCACAAAGATCACACACGGACGTCGGGGGCTCAGTTTGCACCCAGAAGCGAATAGCTATTTCCGGTAGTGTTTCCGGCGTGTGGCGAGATCATTATGGGACACGGCAAGCCCAGCAGCAACCTGACATCGTTCAGTATAGCGGTGGTGTGTTTGCGTCTGGAGTCTGTATGTAGCGATTCATAACTGGAACCGTTTTTCTATGTTGGGGAAAAGTAACTAGCACTATTTAGAAGTCGAAATCGGACATATTGCTTTCCCATTTGTAGGATGTTCACAGAATGTCAAACCAATCATAATATCCCGCCGGCAGACAAATAACTGTAGAATCTGTTTTGAAAAATTGAAGCAAGTGCAAACGCTGTCACGCCTAACGTTCAGTATACGATTGGTTCTATGAATGAAGATCTGGTCATGTTATAGCATAGTTAGAGTTAAGTAGAATGCAAGGGTATGAACACACGCATGTTTTGATAGTAGAGGATAATTATGATCTATGCAAATTGGCTTTGACGGGGATCGGTTCCCCAATTTAAGTACTATTATCTAACTACTGTTGGCGCCTATCGGTCTTCAGGCTTCTACTTTGTTTTACAGTTGAAACCCCCTTGACCAGAAAATCTTGAACCGTCAAAGTGGCAACCGTCACTAGCAGATCTCCTACGACCTTTGGAAAAACGAGTTTCGCCGCTGATAAAAAACTAACTCATCGCGATTATCATTCTGATAATCATAATAATGGGGAAACTGATAGTTAACTTTGATTGTCCAACCACGTCAATTATATCAGTTTATTTGTTTCGAGTAAATCTATGTTCAAGCCTGCCAATATACCTGTCATTTACGCAGTTGGCAGGAGTGTGGAATCGTCAATCTCATACGCTAATAGTGGGTGATAAAACGGGAGAGAGAGAATGAGTGCATGAGGCGCGGAGTACGTTGGACCAGACGGCTCGTCTGCGGGTATCCGGTATACTGTCCTTCCATGCTCGCACAGGAACTCATTCGCCCCCTCAAGTTCCAAGGCCGTCCCACTGACAGGTTCATTCAGGATTGAATCGCAGCCGGCCAGAACTACTACTGGTGAGGTGCGCTGGGGGATGTTTTGCACCAGTACCGGCTGGCCTTTTCTCATCGTTGTGCACGTATTCCCTGTTCCACTCCGCTTCGGATCTCTTTACATTTTCGCAACTGCATACTGTGACGTCCCTGCCGTTTCCGTCGGCGGTCCTGAATTACCAAGTGATGCCATGGGAATTAACGGAGAAGAGACTAATTAGATGGACGCTGCAGTGTAGCAGTACCACGTTAGGACTGCGGTGTTGGTGACCAAATTACCTACTTTAGACCATGGTCGGCTAGAAGCTTCAAAGCCTTGAAATGCATCAGTAACCGATGAAGAGTAAATGATGGCGGCCTTAACAACTCCGGTTTATTTCTCTGCAGGAATTTTTTGCTGTGTGACAACCGATCCAGTGATAACTAATACGCATTTAACGTAACGAAGGCATAATTTATACGATATTTTATTATTATCTCAACTTTAATGGATCTCAACGAATTTCGTATTCATTATTTAATCAACGATTCTACGTAACTTTGGTTTTCAATTTAAATTATATGTATGTATATAGTAGTAGTAGTACGCTTTTTAATGATCTGAACGAACCGCTTTGCCATATTTTACGCCAAAACTGTATTGACGGTTAACGCTAAGTTGTTTTAACATATGTTCAACGATTTCAACATGCTATATCATCTGTTTCTATCTAAAACTAGCAGATTGATTCGGTTTGTCATGGTGGATCTAACGATTTTTCTTCATTTCGATTCAAAGACCGACACCAGGTAGCCGTAGAGGTGTAATTGGGGTGAATATTTTTAAGGAATAACCGCGATAAAGGTGATTCCTGAGATTAGATAGATGACACACCGAACGAGTAGGACTTTGATGTCGCAACAGCCCGATCACGCCCTGAGGCCATTCATTCACTGCGACAATAATGAGGTCTCCAACCTAGCGATTCTCTCGTATCAAACGATCTGGTTGCCGCTATGACCCGATACGGCTGGCAGAAAAAAAGATCGCATCAATGTAACACTGAAGAAACTGTCCAACAAAATATATATACCCTATGTGAGGTTATCCATATAAACAGAAAATCTTCAAATCTCTCAAAAGGTTCATTATTAAAAGGCAATCGAAGACTAAAGTTGTGAAAAAATATTTTTTAATAAAGACTTTTTTATATAACGAATTTTTAATAAAGGGTTCAAATTTTTAATAAAGGGTTCATAAGTTTTTTTATAAAGCAGCTTTCATTCAATGGCAATTTATTGTTTACTTCATTTGTTTTTTATTTTGATGATTTATTCTATTATTATTCGTATAATATCTTCATGATTTATAAACTTGCGCAGTTTATTTTTTTCAGTATTGTATCAGAAAATTGCGAAATTACTTTGTTTGTCTAAGCACAATGTATTGTAAGATTCCAAGCAATTTCGTTCGTGATTGCTCCATGCAATCAGTCACTTTTCAGGCACGCGTTTGACGCGGCTGGTAAGAAGTGCTAGCAATGAACCTTAGCAATCGGCTTTGAGCTTAGCTCCGTTGCAGTGCCCGTGGGTGGCTATGTTTGCCCTCCAGGCGGATAAAGCATGATTACTACAAAAAGGTTTAAGTTGGGTCTGATTTTTTTAGCGATTGCATTCGCTCTTTGTGTTTAACGATGTCTTTCCCAATGTTATATTTCTTATTCAGTGGGCAGGTGCTGTGCAGCATACAAGGGGAAGCGAATGCTATGTTTATTAAGCAAGGAAATTATTGTAATGACAAACATTTCCCGAAGGGCAAATAAGCCTCTAAAGACAACAATGTTTTAAAAAACCTAACATCCTCTGCTCTGTTCCAATAGCCGTAGTAAACGATGACACCTAGTAGTTGTAAAGTTATGGAGAAAATGCCGGGTGACAATTTTAGCTCGTAAACGTATATACGTAAGAGTATTCAAAAAAATCAATCCGTGCTCTTTTCAATTATTACCTGAACTTCGGCTTCATTCCACTGTACCCCAAGCGAAAAGAATGTTCCTCTACTATGTTCAGGGACAACATTTGCATAAAAAATTGGTTAATGGGTCGCCTCAAAAATAACTTGAAATACCTCCCATCATTCATCTGAAGTGACTTGGTACTTGAGAAACTTCCCTTTACAAGCTACTGTCAATTGAAACAGGCTGCTCAGAGAGGTGAGGTCTCGCCCTTTTTAAGCACAAGCGCCTGAAAGGGTACGTACGAGAAAGCAAACAAGTCTAACCGGGCAAACAAGACATTTCGACACACCACTTGGTAAAGGCTGACCGTCAGCGCTTTGGGTATTACCAGGCGCGAGGCCTCGGAGACGGCTTTGAATAGCCTAACAGATAATAGATAAGCAGAGATTTTATGAGCTTTGCTAACAGGGGAGTTGGGCTGGCGGATAGAGGTACAAAGTTTGTGATGACGTAGAGCGGTGTAAACTGGAAACCTTCTGCGTCTTCAAGTAAGGTTAGTCACAATGAAGGCTGGGTACTATGTTTGATTATATCGGAGATCTGATGTCCTGTGGCGAAAGCGTCATGAAAACGGGGTAAGTTTAAGAGAGTCTAATGGCAGCCTCAAGATAGGAACCAAAATTATTAAGTGTGCGTATGGCAATGGCTATTACGGGATTTACCATCGTGGGAACGCTTACAGCAAAGCACAGCCCAGAAAGCTGGCTTCTGAGCTCTCCTATCTAACCTCACTAAAGTTACTTTAATGTTGAATGGATACGAGTTAGTTAACTAACCTGTACCATGGAATAGTTCGAAGTCAATTACGTCGTTATAGTATCTTTAGTAAAAATTAATTTCCTCTCTGGAAAATGTCATCAATAACCTAGGCAAAATTTATTTTCTATCATTATCCCCTAAGCGAATAGTCCTATTATCGATATGGTGCGTAGTAGAAGACTTAGGCTATAGGCGCGATCCAACCCACTAAAACCATTCTGTGACACCAAACCATTTTCAAATCAAACGGCTATGGTTTGTTCTTGTCTTTTCCTAACCGACGTTTAATTTACGAATTAATTAATTTATAATAATTAAAATAAATAAGATATACAATAAATAAGAGATTCTCAGGAGTGCAGACTAGTTGTGAATATATAGGAATAAAAAAAATAATAAAAAGCGGTGCATACCTGTATTCTAGTGAACGTGCGAAGGAAATACACTTTTGTTATACTCAGAATTGTGTTTTGGATAGCATAGAACATTTGACATGTTCTAACAGAGTTTAAACGTATTGCGGCACTGTTTTTCATTTCCGTGAATCACATCCTTATAATGACAATCCAGTATGTCTTAATAGCTGCTACAACCAAGCAGAACAGTGTGTCTATGTTTAAGTCCGCAAAAACAAAGAAGATTTGATTTAAGTTAACTGATATGAACAATTGATTATGACTGACGGAATCGGTTTGTAGCTAGCCATGACGCTTGTCACTAGGGGCATTGACGCGATCAATAATATAGTGAAAGATAGGAACAACGTAAACTGTTTTAATGTGAGACACGTTCTTATTCGTTGGCCCAAAGAAACAATCGACCAGCGTCCAAGTTTATATGACGCTGAGATTACTAAGGTTGTACACGACGTTGTCCATAACGCACGACTGTGAAAGGCAGTTTGCATCAAGGTGTAGCAACATATGGAGGCGGAATTAGCCTCGGGCAGTCAAATTTAAAAGTGACTTCCCGCCGCCATCAGCCTCCGATGCCGCGTTTGCACCCCTGGGCCAACTCTATAAGGCAACCCTCTTTCTATTTTTTTTTTTTTTTGCTAGTAAAAAAGGAGCCGACAGGTTCAAATTTACAGATATAACGTATAACTTACAGGTAGTTAGCGGATCAATACGCTCATCGTTTTTATTCGAAATCACATCTATAGTTGTTTGTTGTTTGAGCTCAGCCAAAAAGCATACGTCTTTCAGACGACATATTTGTCGACACGTTTCGTGGTACAATCAGTGAAGAAGCTTCAAGTTTGGCATATGTGTCCGCACTCACGAATAAAACGCGATTTTCTCGTTTCTCTATCTCTGGTCTAAGCTTGCTTTGCACATAAATTTGTTATCAGCAAGCACGACCAAGGGAATCATTATTTTTCAATAAAACTATATGTTTTGCTGATTCAGCCTATGCAGTTGTTATGTTTGCGACCGACAAGATATCAATCACCTCACCAAATCAGAACAGGAACAGGTGAACTGCAAATGGACGATTGATCGTTAACGTCTTCTGTTCTCGGATCCTGCGCATGGCGTCCAATCTTTAACATGCAAATGTCTACATACGTATAACGCAAGAACTGTACGGTTTCTACGAATCTAGGACTAGAATAGGCGGACGAGCTAAAGACGACAGACACATCGTATAGAAACGCTGGTAAGTGTGCTTTAATATCGCCGTTGTAGAGTACAGCCGATCCATGGGACTAGGGCTGAGTGAAGTGGAAATTAACTTGATGGACGGGCAGCCAATGTTACGGTACGCTACAATACATTGTAGAGAGCGCAGCCATATTCCTCTGCTTAAGCGGGCTCTACAAACATAGTGACACGACTAATACTTCATATGTTAAGCATTTTCTGCTTCAAGGGGGCATATGACAAAAAAATGCCGTGACACTTTTTTTTCCCATCGCAGCTTCGTCCAGCTTAGACACTCTCTGCAGTCTCTCGGAAATTCACAAGGGTCGATTATTGCCGGTAACACAGGGCAACAGGGACTCACCCTGTTCCTAGATTATTTAGAGCACGTAAGTCGTATCGTCGACGAGCGATCCCAGGATTTCGATTTGAGCAAAAATTCGTTGATGGCGTCACTTGTTTGGCAAAAGAAAATACCACTTTTAAAGAAGATCGCTTAAAATGGATTAGCACGAGTCATTTCAAAAGTTATTTTACTTCGCATTTAACTGTGTGGCCTATATTGGATAGGTCTAAAGGAAAATCACTCCTAGAGTCATATCCCTTTTTGTTTGTGTATTCAGCAAACTTCGTAGTTGTTAGACGCGCTCTGGGAACAGTTGATGCGGCACAGTGGCCGTGTTTTCCACTAACAAGTTATATAGAGTTAATAAACAATGAACAAGTCACAAAAAATGGAATTGCAATTAAAATAACTAATTTTCGATCCTAAGCCGTTAAGTTTTTCTCTTTAGTTATTTCGCTCATTTAGGTTGTAAAACAAAAGATCAGGTATATACTCGGGTTCAGGTATCTCAGGCAGAAACGAATGATCTTATTTTGTGCTAGACTACACCCATAAAATATGGGGGAGCGATATACAGTTTGCGTAAGCCTCGTGGGTAAGGTACTTGCTTAAAAGTTTCAGGCATTAAAAATCAAACTAACACTTGTACCTTCCTTAACTTCGGAAAAAGCAATAGGCGGAGAGATCGCGGCACGATTGGTTAACACTACTTCAAAACCACTCTTCACGCGCTTTATCCTGCAGCTTTTATAGCGCACATTGCAACTGCATACATTCCCTGCTGAAGAAAGCCTTCTGTCAGCTTATCTGTTTAGTCTAGTCACGGGTAACCTTCCGCAAAGTAAAATCCTTCACTATGAGAGTAGCTACATCGTTGTCTGTAACGGTTAGAAAATAATCGGACGATACAGCAAGTTCTCAGAAGTTTGTTTGAAAAACAGCCCGAACATAGGCTGTACATTATGGTCGTCGCTCGAATTGCGCAGCCTGCAAACGAAGCTAGATGGTTTTTGACCCAGAATCCGTGCGTTCGGTAAAGTATCGCAAAGGGTAGTCGATTAGGGATCCGGATCGTTGTTTATATCAGATACTCAGATTAAAAGTAAGGTGTGTGACTCAACAGCCGGTCCCGTCAACCTGAACTAATATCCGTCGCCTGGACTGCATCTGCAGTGTTTGCTCTCTTCGTGGGAAAGCGTGCAGATTGCAAGGCGAGAAAACAACTCAGCCACTCAGGCCACTCGACAGGATCTGTGGCGCAGGACCTGAATCGCTGCAGCTGCTGCTGTACAAGTAATCGAAAAGATGTTTACGGACATAATTTTTAGAGCCTTGTCGAAATGATGGCAGGAGATTTCTTCTCTTTCATATTGGAGCACCTTAAAGCATTATGCCATAGGGAGTCCGACATTGTTTTTGGTCTTGGCAGCAGTCGAAAGGATTCTGAACCCGTTTTCGCTGCCGTTGCTAGGGTGTGTTTCATATAGGAGCTTTCTATAAGATTTTCATCAAATCGAATCCATAGATATTTAGCTGGAAGATTGCTGTTCATGGGGTGTCCACCAGGGGCGATATGTAGTGATCTTGGGTGATGCTTTTATCCGTTGAAAAGGGTGCTTTTGTTTTCTATTAAAGAGAAGGTTAGTTCAGGCCAAACAAGACGTTGAATAATATCTATAAATGCTTTTTTTTTGTTGCATCATGCATTCTTCTGAGTTATGTGAAAATTGTTTGCGTAAACAACCCATTCGACCGATAGGAAATTGGTGAGGCAAAGTATTTCTTTATATCCAATGTTTTAGAGCATGGGTTTTAAAGCCATTGGATCGGGTCTTGAAGAATGCCTTTGGAAATCTGAAAATTACGTCAAGCATTGCGAGGTGTCTGAAGCTAGGACAAGCATAAAGAACTTTATGAGGAGACAGAAAGCTATTAATCAAGTCCTAGACAGATCAGCTGTAATCGTCAAAATAAGGCAACGTGTTCATTGCGGCTCTTTAGCTCCTGTCTCTTTCGTGGCATTTAAAATTTCGCGTATTGTGAATTGTGTATTTTGTTCCGTGCAGATTGGGTAAGAAATATTCCTTTTCGTCCACTTTCTTAATGAAATTCATGTTCAAGGTTTGCTTTAGCAATTCAAAGGCCTAATAATACTCTACCGGGTCTATAGACTGAAAGCTCATTTAGTGCTCTGCTTGTTGTGAGTAAAGACGGGCTATTTTCCACTGAACAAAAAAGGACCCAATGTGTGAGAGGCGTGACCATTTATCGGAATACAGAGGGGTGGTTTCTCCTAAAAAATATATATTGCTTCCGCAGAAAGTTCGTCGAGTCCCAGAAGTCGTCGAAATTTCATACGTTTGAAGACTTTCTTCGTTTCTGCGCACGTTAAAGTTAAAGACGTCTGAGTTTCTGAAGTGAGGTCTATCGTGCAGGGCTAAGCGTATGCTTGCTGTATTGAAAACATGGAGACCACGCATATTGTAGGTTGTATCTTACAAGTTCATAACCCTGATCGCAGGGCTTTTCTTTGGCCTAGTCGCATAGACGGTCCCAGTAGGCTTGCTTATAATTCTTTCTTTAAGGTCGACGTGCTTCTTTGTGTTTTTCTCAGGGTGTATTGAAACCCGGTAGAAGGGAGTGTATCGCCGTTTTTAACTGGAGGCATACGAGTGCCCCTCTGGTATTATATATATTTAGCCTATTATCGTACAACTATTTAAATTGGTACACTATGTAGATTTCAGAAAGATCTATTCTAAGATTAATGTGATATGATAGATGATAAACACTGAGATATAAAATGTATAATGACGACAGTTCTGGTTACTAACGTTTAACGCAGTGATCGCTTTAAATCTATAGTATCACTGCTTCATGGAATGCCTCATGCAGGGAACAACCGCTCTTGATCTGGTTGTTTCTTCTAGCATTTGATCATGCCTTTGAGTCACACGTATGTAGCCTATATTTATATTTAAGCATCGCTCACAACTTACTCATTTCACCGCATCGTGGGGAACATTGCGCTAGTTTCGGATGACCGGGTCTGCACGCTGCGCATGTTACTTTTTTTGGAGTTTTGTAATGATGAAGTGAATAGATCAGGTTCGAATGCAAATTAGCACCACAGAATTTTTGTTGAAACCTATGAAAATCGTAACTATGGTGAAGAGTAGTTATAACTAAGTACGCATGCGGAATAAAATGTTGCGGTTCTCAAAGCGATGTATTTCGAAGTCATCGACTTTCTACCGTTTGATCCTGTGAAAAAGGTTTAACGGGCAGAAAGTAGAGTCTATCGTAGAAGCTTCGTTTATGATTCCCGTTGAGTTGCTAAGATGGGCGTTGAGGAAGCAGCGCATTCAACGTTTTGCGGAAATTTAGGTGGTGAACATTAAAATCGGTGCCGCCAATTACGAATGATTACTCTGTCATACGTATATGAGACTCGCTAACACGAAACGGATGTCTCTCTGGGTGTACATGGCAGCATGTTGGACACTGAGCACCAAGTAGACAGTGATATTCTGTTGGACTATCAACGGGGTACATATCTTCATTACATGAGAACAAAGTAGAAATTCATATCCTATTTGTGCTTCTACCTTGGACAAAACTCACTAAAGCAAAGGGAATCCTGAACTAATAGCGTTGAAGCATTTTCGAAACAGAAAGACAAATAGAAAAAGAAAGAAAATACTAGAGATGGCCGAAGTATGAACAGGGTCTTGAAGAAACAACCATCAACAACGAAGATCGACATCAGATAATGTTTGCGTTGCGCTGCAAACTCCACCTCTCCTGAGAACACTAATGCTGTTAAATGGGAATAACTGTGGGTGTCCTTCTCCTATCCGCAAAGCTGGACTCGTCAAGCCTATAACGATCACGCTGTCCGCGCCTAGAACAAAAGTGGCTATCAGCCGGACACTGGTTCACTAGAGTCTGGCGTTCTGCCAGCGAAAACGAACCACCTCCGTTACTTATTGACCGTGGTCAGTCACCGACGGTTTGTCCCAACAACAGAATATAAACAGTACCAGCATTCCAACTAGAGCGACATAGTCCGCATTATACTGAGTTGTTACTACCCACGCCAGAGACGCTTACCTTACGGGCCAGCTAGTTTGCTGCCTCTGGCCCGACCCATCGAGTTGCTTACCGTTCGTCATATTGTAGTGGCATTCATACAGCATTGTTTTAACCCCAGTTGTTCTTCATAATAGTCGTATAATTGTCGATGAAATTTTGCGTTATTTACTAAGAGCGGTTTTAAAATAAAAACAACACTTTTGTATTTCCCTGACACGACAGTCTGGTAACAGTTTGTTAAGTTGCTTGGCAAAATATACTTACGCCAAAGGGAACTTTGATAGATAGTGCTATCTACGATACGATGGCGCACTACAAGTAACACTCTTGCAACATGCTATTATTCGTACAACATAACAAATATAATAATCAAATACAGAAGTCTTGGTAACACCGTTTATATATTTAATTAGCCGATATGAACTGGCATAATTTAACAGTGAGTTATGACGTTTCTATATAAAAGATGTTTCGAGTCTTACGTCTGGTACTGCCTGAGAACTGCTATCACTATTACTATGTTATTGCTACCATCTCTATTAGTGTATTATAAGCTTCACCATATGCAAAATCGAGCGTGTCGAGCGATAGTTGCGGCGACACTGGTATTGAAAATCGGCGACAACCCGTCATATCCGCGTAATACTGCTACTGATGGCGGCGGCAATGTTTAAAGTTGTAGTAATAATAGAAGCAAGCCTAACCAATTCTAGCTGGCGTTCTCTGTTTACGTGACGTTCATACTAAATTCGTGCAGTAACATCGGTAACAGTGATACCGACAGTGGCAGAAGCAGTACCAACCTATCTCTATTTACGACGCAATGTTTGCAGGGAAAACAGACGCATCTACGTCAAGGCGAACTAAAAGTTCGCTTGTCTGTTTGGCCACGCGCTCACTGACTACTGAACTACTACACACTGAAACTCACTGACTACCCCTATTCCCTTCAGCCTACAATCCCTTTTCAGCCTCTTACTACACTCCGCCCCCTTTATTTAGACTTGCGACCACCGCATGTGCTGCAACTCTTATGGCATTGTCATGCTCTGTATGTGGTCAGGTGTCTGTACCAGGAACTCCCCCACTTCCCAGGGATTAGTCCCCTGATCCGTTCGCTGGATCGCTTTGTTCTCTCTCCTTATGTTTATCTCTCCCTACAACGAATTCCGCGAAGCGTACGCGGACGCTTACCTAAACTCACGATGTTCGGCGCAACTCGTACACGTGCGCTCACAAAATGTTCTCGGTAAAAGCACAATATATGGAAACGGGATGCACTTTGATGCTTCGTCCACCCAGCCGCTGGCTTAATATCATCTAAACTATGTACCAAGAGAACTTAGCACAGGGTAGATGAGCTTGACTGTGCCAGCGGAAGTTGTCTGATCGTTTACGTCGGCTGCTTTATCAGCCATTCAGCCGACACGCACATCAATCTGTAGTCTAACTCAGTTCGTTATACGTATGACATGTTTATAGGGTAACTTTGAGACTGCCACATTACTGCAAGTAGGTACGATGTTCCATGTTTTAAACAGAGGACATTTTATACTCCATACAAGATGTCTTATTTGGCATCTCCTTAGATACTGACAAAAGGCGTATAGCAGTCTGTCTCTTTCTTCGAATAGCTCTTATAATTATTTGATTCTTTGGTCGCATAAAACGCTTAGCTTTCACATGTCCTTCTGAGACATCGGCTATAATTGAAAGATTAAGATGACGCTCAGCACCGCGAGCTTTTCAGTTTGTAGGTGGAAAAAAAACAGGACCTTAGATGGGCCAAAGTTTGACAGCCGTAGAGGGGCGATGTGCTCGTAGAGAACTACAAAGAGCTATCTAGTTTAGTTATCACAATAAAGCCTCCAAGAAAGTCTTTGGATTGCTCATTAAGGCGTTCACTTGATGTAATCTATGGGATACGATATTTTGTCATGGTGGGCAAAATTCAAATACGACTTTGAGCGCCATCACTTAACGGATTAAATATGGCGACCACACGAATAATGCTTTCTTTTAAGTGGAGTGGATGAGCAAGTTTTACTGTGTACCGTGCGACAATACCAGCTTCTGTCGCAGTATTGTGTGCAAGGAATGTTTTTAATCTATGAATCAATTCAACTTCAAGTTGAACTTCTACTCTATTGTATCTAAGATTATTTAGTGGTGTTTTTCCATCACGTTTATAATCTTGATTATCTAGTTGACTGAAATAGATAGTCAGCCATTTGTAATTAGTTAACGATGCCTAGTAGAAGTAAAAACATTGTTACTATTGAAATAAGTTAGGAAGAAAATTAATATCGAACAGCCATATAAGTTAAATAAGATGATGACTATTGTCGTCGTTATATATTATACAATGGATACTATTGTCAAAAATAATCAAACAACATCCAAGTTCCATTCTGAAAAACTGATCCCCATTAATTATACTTCAAGCAAATTAAGCTACCTGATATTATAGAAAGAGTGCTTCGTTACGGGAGTTAGCGTCTCTTCCGTTTCGCTCGAGATGAATGAACTATATCTGATAAAATCAGATGGGCCAGAGTAATTGTCAAGAAGACCTTAATTACAATGCGCATGGACTAGTGGATCAATTGCTGCGCAAATTTACCATGGGTTTTTTGGACCATTTTCTCTAACTCGCCAACTTAAGTCGATTCGGATATATCTGTGTAGTGTGCTTATTGACATGTTTAAACGTGTTAATGTTCTTGTTTTTTGAGGATATCTCAGGCTCTGTAAAAAAAAAACATCTCGGGAACATCTCAAGAGTTCCGCAGAGTTATCGTAGCAGCCTATTTTAATTGGAAACAGAAAGTAGATTGCATTTCAAGAGGCATTGTACCGGCACCTAAAAGCGAAATATATAAATTCGGTGATTTATGACGTCAGTCTCTGTGTAGTATGAATGTCTATGAGACCTTTAAACAGCACCTGTGCGCTCAAAATAATGTGAGAGCTAGGCTCAAGTCAATGCCTGTCTGTTTTGCCTACTGCTAATCATACAAGATACAAAAACACAAAAGATATATAAGATATCATACTGAATATGAATGAAAAGCTCTATGGTTCTTCTAATATGCTTCTCTAATGAAGGCTGGTAGAATTGGAGAAGATACATAAAAGATAGGGTAGCTCGACCAATTGCCGTCGAAGCTAAAAGGGTCCGAATCTGTATATTGCCTCCCTGAGAGCTGGCTAGTCATCCCAATGTTGGGCAAATCCGTTAGGCCATGCATGATTTGTTCTATACGACGCCCAAAATCGGTACGTTTAGACTAAACGTATGATGTCAAAGCAAGTCGTCCTTTAATGGTAAAGTAATTAAGGCAGATCAAAACTACGTCTAACGAAAATGACAGTTCTATATAGGAAAAAGTATAGCATTTTTTTTCAGTAGCAACTTTATACCTATACTTTATCCTAGCTAACTACTTTTCTGTGCAAACAAACCTTATATACGTCGCCGACGAAAAGTTCAGGCTAACTGTCAGCGAAAGGATAGAGCTGAGTCAGACGGTTTTTGTTGTTTTCATAATCGGCGCTTGTCCTTGTAACCTCCATGGAGAACTCTCGTTCTGTATCCTTATTGCCGCTTACGTGCCTTCCGAACTACAATTGCTCAATATAGGCCAGCCGAAACAATGCACTGTTTTCATTAGCGGCAAAAACAATATCAACAACGACAACGCATTTCGTAATTGTCGCAAACGGTGTCTATTGCACTTCCAGAGCTTTCTGTGGCATAGGTGCGCCTTCTTTCGAAGTTTTTTTCCCGTCGACGCGATGACGAGCAAGACAAAACAATAGACGTTCGGTCGCTTGAGCGTCAGCGCACCAATGGGCCGCATATATATATATATACGTAATCGAATTAGCTGTAAGGGACAGGAGGCCTACAGTATAGCATTGCACAGTATTCTGTTACCAACTGCATAGACAGATATTGCTGAAGTTGCCCCCTAGGCCACATGTGATTTTTTCTTCGTCCTTTTATTGCTCCTGGTCGGGATTTTTCGAAGAGTTAGGAAACACAGGCAAGAAAGCCGAAGGTAAGGACTAAGCAAACAAACATCCGAGCTAAACGAATAACCTCTGCTTAAGGTATACAGAAAACAAACCAGTTTACGTCTTCATAGTAGGCGTAACTACGAACTGACCGAAGAAATCCCTCGATACGTCATAACTTGGTTTCTTATGTATACGCATATCCGTCACGTAAGTCGCGTTATGTAATACTTTTGAAATATCCGGCGTAGTGCTATTGTTAGCCCGTGTATAGGATTTTGGGTTTTACGTCCCAAGACGCCTCGCGGAGCACGGAGTGAAACGTGATTTTCAATCTAGATTAGGTTTCATAGGCAAACACAATACTGCTGCACTACTACAACCGCTCTGATAACATTGTTGGACTGTAATGTTATTAATCTATTAGTTCACATGTAGATAATAGCGCTATAAACCGGCTCGGAATCGGCCTGCTAACTAGAGAGAAACTTCGTTACCCATACACTGCGTCAGTGTTTGGTAGAACGATTAGTTCCGCTAGGGAAAGTTGTACCGCACAAGATATTTAGACGAAACTTTAGCTCAATTCACTTAGTACTGATTCGCCTAAACTATTGTAAATAGAATAATAAACCAGAGTTAGGAAAAATCACTCGCGGCGCTGGTTAGAAGATACCAACTTCTTGACTCCTTTCCTTTTTCGTTCTCTCTCTTCGTTTGTTTACCTGTGTCAAACAGTCCTCTGACCCTCAAACTTTTCATGAACCGTATGCCAACGCCTTTCCCTTCAGTCGTTTACAGATTACTGCTGACATCAGTGGAAAGCAGTCTCACTCGTTGGCCATTATTATCCGCTAGAGGCGTTTATCATGTCCTGTGCAATCGGGGACCGGGAGAGAGCAGCGGAAGCTGGGAACTAGGCCACAAGTGCGCTTACGTGAACGGCGGGGGGCGACGGTGACATAGTGTAACGCCAATATGACCAGACGGCTCGCCCCGCTGCCCATTCAAACGACCGCGACGTGGTCGCTACAGTGCGTGCGTTGTCGCCCACCTCCCATCGAAGCGATCTTGACGTTACGCTGGGTCGCAAAAACATATTTCTAAATAACCCTTCTATACCGCGGTAGCGTCTCGTATCAACAGCGTATGACACCGTCTGACTTTGCTAGACTTCGTTTGTGCTACAATACTGCCCTTTACGGTTTTCGAGTCAGGTAACCGAGTTAGCATAGTAGAACAAAATTGGAAGTTGGGTATGTTTAAGGTAAGTTTAAAGAGATCAGGTGAAGTTCGTAGAAATGGCCGCTTTTTCAATACTGATGATGAATGAGGCAGTTCATTTGCTGCGAATGGAAAAGGCTGCGACAGGGAGACTCGCCCCAAACGACATTTACGTTCTATTGCGCCCATCTAAAATAGTTCACGTAATATCTGCGAGCTGACTTCCGCATCAATCTTTGACAGTTGTTTACTAAGCTAACCATTGCTGCCATGATGAATAAGGGAAGCATATGAAAGGTAATCGTTCATGTGCATTTCAAATAGAATATTAGGTCCAGCAATACTGCACAGCAGCAATGATACCGATATTTTGGAAAAGTACTCTGTCTTTCTGGGCATTGACTACATCGCTTGATACCGGAAAATGGGGTTTGTTAAATAAAACTTTCCGCTTTGCGTCGTTCGTTTCATCGAAAGTCTCGGCCGTTCAAGTAGCTCGATCTTTTAGCCAGAGAAGAACAGCCCGACCTCATTATCAATTCGCTCATTCTGTTGAATGGAAAAACTCGTAAGACACCTTCTGTACCTTTTGTACGAACATTCACTCGGAACCAATTCAGCTTTGTTATCATCCCTACATGAGGGTTATTGCGCAAAAATCTTTTACTCATAGAAACCGCTCTCTAGGAATATTTATGGGGAGGTGACATAAATCTGCCAGACTAGTTTAGTTTACACCCTTAGAAGCGGATATACTGTAAATGGCTCAACAACATATAGATAAAATAATTAATGTAAAATTATTGTCCGAACATAGGTAATGTAACAAGCCAGCAGTATTCTATTGCGTAATATATCATTTTGGGTTCCTTTTGATATCAGACTTTCCCAGCGGGTAACGAACCCAACCCAGTCCGTATAAGAAAATCACAGCTGGTAAATCATTGATGTAAATTACGCTAAACTCTATTAGATCACGTATTTATCTTACACGTGAATGCAGATGTCTGCCATTTCAGTTTTTAAGATGCTTAATCATTACTTTTCGATATTTCCCCTCGACACGAAACGGCCTACAAACGACAATTTCACGTCACTCCTGAAAATGAATATACACTGGAAACATCGATCTTTAATGTGGATGTTAATTACTGAAGAAAATCCACTTATCTCTTTCGTATGTATCCTAGTGTATTTTAGAGAAGTTAGATCGCTTCGTGGACATAGGACTCAAGCCTCATCAACGTTGGCCTGATGATACCCATGGGAGCCGAGACAAAAAGCTACGAGCATATTATTCATTTTCTGGAGCAGAACTAGTGTGAATGACAAGACGAATATTTTAATAAATCAGCAGTCTAAAATAACAGGGATTTGGGCACATTTTTCTTATTCACTGTTCTAAACGTCCTGTTTTACAGTGAGTTGCCGCGTAAGGTATGACGGCGCTACGAACAAGTTTGCTCTGTGATCTAATTCTGTACACATGTATTGCATCGTCGCTAATAGACGCCGATACTACAACATATATATATATATATATATGAGAATTTCGTTTCGAGAAGAGCGTTAGATATGGACGCGAAACCCGTCTAGTTCTATTTATTATAAACTGTTGAAAGACAAAGCCCTATCTATATCTCAAACGCATGTTAGCACCTTTGCATCTCCTGCTGTTGTGGGTTCATCTGTGCGATTTGAGCGTATCTCTCTTCCTTCCTTCCTTCCTTCCCATTCAATGTCATAAATAGAGGTCGTTTCTCGGCCCAGTAAACGCAACAAGTTCAACCGAGATTGTTTCCTATCTCCGCTCGGCTTACCCACTCGGACGTTTACGTTTTCTTTTCCAATGACTTTCTTGCTGCTTCTTGTGTCAATTCGATTTGATTCAGGCGAACACTCGCCGAAGATTATCATCATCATCAGAGCATTTATAGGCAAAGTGAAGTGGTCGATTTTTTTTAGGTTCGTAGTTGAGTTTCGTACGGTTTTTCTCAGCGGACACACTCGTCTCTATGGAAAGAATCAGAGTCTTCAAAAAGTTACTCCCAAACAATCTGATGGCTAGCTGTAGTGTTTTGCGAATACGATCACAAGTAGTTACATCTTCTCAAATACAGTGACGTTTAGCTGCCGTCGAGATAACTTGAGGATGAGAAAGAGGCTAACTTACGTAGCAAACTGTACAACCGCTTATATGAACCCTCCAACGAGAGACACTGGTTTCCAACAAATTATATGATAGTCACATTTACTTCTACGCCAAACACTTTAAACTTGGTTAGACGTGATACGTGCCTTCGGGTGTCGATCGTAGATACTCTTCCACGCAGCTCTTACTCAGTAAACATTATCATTTCAAGAAAAGACCATTAGACGAGCTCTATCTGAAGAACTCAATCAGAATTCGGATTTCATCTCTACTGTGATCGTACGTAGCGGAAACAAACACACTTGTCGGCCTGCATCTGATCCACATGTGACGTCTCCATGGATCATAGTCCTTGTGAGGGTCGCCACGCCCTCTCTTCTCACAATCTTGTCGTTAGTCGCCTTGCTATTTCCTCCAACCTGTCAACTCGATCTCAAGAGCGCGAAAACATCGAATTTTTCCAAGTTAGATCGCAGCCGACAGAATCGTAGTTTACGGCAGCAAGCCGCTGCAGCGTTGAACAAGCATCAAAGACGCGGTTTTTTGATCACGTACTTTAGTGGCCGTCGGCGTTCAGTAAGGAAGTAGTTCGTCGGCTGTAGAGACACGTCGCTAGCCATCCTCTTGCTTCTTGCTCGTTGGCTCCTTTCGATGATACTACTACTACTACTACTACCACTAGCCACTACGAAAACTGGCACAGCCTTAGTGCTCTCTCCCGACCTGAGACACCCGTCACGTTCTCCTGTGACTTCTGAAAAGCCATCCAATTTCGCTTACTATCTCAGTGTGCTCAGCCCTCTTTGGCTTGCCATTTGGCCATTTGCCGGAACCCGCCAAACTAGAACCCAAGCAGCAAATTATCGAAAAACTGTTGCGCGGGGCCGCAGACCTAAAGATACTTCTTATGACACGTATATAAGAAAAGTAAACTCGTTCAGGTAATAAAAATCGTATCAGAAAGAATAATGCTTTAGGTAAACTTTCAGACAGACGACAATAGGAAAGATAGTTGCATGACTATTCCGCCATATTGTATTCGCGATAGTCTGCGTTTTGATCATTTAAAGCTTAGTATTTGTGAAGTGTCAGTACATTTAGCCGTTGATTCAGCAAAAATTCTCGTTGGAATACACACCAAGCTTATGACCGATGGAAGAGTGAAGACTACTAGTATGTGTTTCATATTGCATCGCTTTTTATTAATATTCATATCTGACGGTAGCTTCAATGGATGATAGTTCTACTAAGCAGACATATCGAAACATTCTGATACGCTTCATCATAAAATATAACTATCTATTATTATCAATTATTAACAAATTATCCCTATTTACCTATGACCGGTTTGATAAAAATATAGCAACATTTTTACTAGGGTGCATATACGCTGACTTAGACGTTAGGCTAGCGATGCTATATATTTGTTCAGTTATTGGGATCTTTTTTTATAGGTCAGCTTTAGCCTATCCCATAATTTTATACTCGTAAATCTGTAGTTGGTATTAACAGCGTGAACGCACTTTATTGAAGGCAGATTATCGTAAACTGAAGATCATTTGTTCTACGAAAACGAAAGTCGCTTTGGAAATAATGAAACGAATGGAATATCTGAAGGTATGAATCATATAAATAGTCCTATAACAAAATCTAAATAGCATATTGTTGCCCTCTCAATGTGTATTTGGATTGAAGAACCCAAATAAGTTCGAATCTCTACATCATTGAGATGATCTACAAACCCCATACAGGATCGATAGTATACGCAAGTGAAGATTATTGGTCGGTTGTATTACATTCTAATTTAGCAGAAGATCACAAAATGATTTTGCGTCGTCACTATCGGCTTGTCACTTAATTGTTTGCAGGAAATATATTCAAGCTTTTTGTTTCAAATATGATGAAGGGAGACAAAAGAACGAAAAAACAAAAGGCTTACGTTAGTTAATTTTCGCCGAGGGTTCTTTGACAAACAAGACAGTGAATGTCGAACTATCCAGCGAGACCCCACTAAGCAACTATCTCACTAACGAATCACCACCGAATAGCTGCGTATGGCTAAGAAAAAGACTCCCACACTAAGCGTTTAAGAACAAATCCCTTTTGCCTTCCTACAGGATTACCAAGGGTGAGCTTAATTTAATTACAGACAAGAGAGTTAACGTCGTCTTGCAGTAAGAAGGGCAAACTTTGCTCATTAAGTGCAACAGGTTCCTATTCCTGGTAGCGTGGCCAGAAACAGACAAAGCAACTACTAGCCGCAGCAAGCATTGTCTTAAAATTAGTCTTTGCGACCCTCTTTCATATGGCAAAAATAGGAACTGTAGTCCGAGCTTGAAATGCTTAGTTTTATCACTTGCACCTTAATCTATTACTTTTTTCCTGTACTAATAAGTGCAATTCTCCGTGCGCGACCAAGCTTTTTGATAATGAAAAAAAAAAAAAAAAAAACCGCTCAATAGCTGTGATGAATTGGTTTGAAAAGGTGCCGAAAATTATGGCGTGGTAGCCTACGAGGTCAAGATACTTTCTTAACAAGTAAGAGACCTGGGGTTCGTTTTTTTGAAATCTTTTATTTAGTATTTAATATCACTCCGTAATATAATAACCGCTAAAATCCACATTATAGCAAATCATATTATAATGGGATAATGCCCAATATTGGTCCTTTCACTCTAATAGAAACTGGTCAAAACTGACTGTTCAAAAAGCGCACCATCATACATTAGCATCAGCCAGCAATATCCTCATAATTATGAAGCGTTTTCGTGGTGTTTGCTCGATCTAAAGTTCTTAGCACGCAGCTGTAGTACATAGCCGACGTACACGAAACAAAATAGAAAACTTCGCCCGCTAGAGGATTGTGGCAGATGTGCGCTGTGTTTAGATCAATGGATAGCCAATGGTTTTGTGCCTGCCTTTGCCTGATTCTCCAGGAAAAGGAGATACGAATGGCCTCTTGCCCGTTCGTCTTTGCCGAACATCTTTGTTGTCGAATTTGGTGAGCAATCTAACAGGTTGCCTAACCGGCGTCTCTTCTCTCGGATTTGTTGCTTCTCCCCACGAGGGAATCCCAAATCATTTCGGTCTCGTTTTTTGCAGTTCGTTTTATTCTAATACCACCATTACCGAAGAGAGTAAAGCTGAGTGGTGATTTTTATCAGCTGATGCGCGGCGCTCATCCTCCTGGACGCCTGTTAGCTAGTTTTATTAGAGAAAAAAAGAGCTATAATAGTACCACGACCACCGCCATCGTCAGGAGACGGAAATCGACAGTGTAGTAGTAGACGACACGTCGTATTTGCTGCTAGTGATGAAAAAAACGAACGAAAAGACAGTAGCGGGCATGGCAGAAACGTCACTAGGATAGGAAAAGCATGCAGAGGCCCACGGGGTAGAATCATGGAATAGTACGAAGCTCATGATGCGGAACGTGGACTGAGTACATTATTTCTACAGTAAGGTAGTTCCTATGCCTCACGTCCGAGGAGCACGCGCAAAAGTTAAAAAGAGGCCTCCTATCTATAGCTACGAGAGTTCAATGAAACTCTACTAAGAATTTACCGCTGTGGGATAACTTGGAAATATGTTCAGTGTTATGAGGCGTCTCCACTAGCAATTGCTTGTAAGCGTCTATTGTACCCACATCACATGCTTGATAAAAACGTTTCATTTTCTGGAAGATAAATGCGTACCTTAATTTCGTGTGTAATATCTGGGCTCAACGCTGAAATACAGAATATTTTTGCATTAAAAAAGCGGCCATTATCGTCAGCAAAATTGGAGTACTTATTTGTGTTGCGCCTTTGTTGTGTTATATCATTGTGCTGCGCTTAATGATAGGTCTACACTCGTTCGTTTTTCTCACTGGAACACCATTAAGTACTGAGCAATGTGCCTTCGAGTGCTTAATACTGTCTTGCTATCGCTTATCCTGTCTACATTTAGTCGCCTACTAATGTCTCTATAAGGAATTACGATCTGTGCTGGCAAACGGTGCTGCTGCTTCAAGGATCTGCCGAGGTGGACGGCAATCGGAGCAGCTAGATACAATGGAGTATAAAGAAACCGTTATAGCGTAGCAACTGATTTGATATATTCGGCTTCCTAGTGCTCGAATCTTTAATTATTGAACGCCTGAAAGTTACATATATTCGGTTCCGGATCTACACCACTCTATGTGTCACTAGGATTAGTACGAGGGCACACTACAGTTGTGCTTTCAAGCGGGCAACACATTTAATCACATAACTTTGCTTTGCCCCACATCTAAGGCGGCTCAGCTGTATCATTTCTTGCAAAAAAATTCTTACTTAGAAGGATATGGTCCCTCTTCGATTTTACCTAATTAGAACTGTTTGTATTGACTTCATGCGCTCATGGCTCAACGCAACTTCGTGATTTTGGCCATGATGATTCAGGCCCATGTGCAACTAGGTGATACCTTCCTACGAATTGAAAACAAGCATCGCTATGATACGGTTGACGAACTACAACTTATAGAACTTTTCTGACAATTTGCATATCTCTTGTTTTTTCTTGGTAATAAAAGGTAACAGAGCCCTGGGAACATTTCTGTCTCAGATCAAACTATTAAAGTATAGATAATCTGGGACAGTGCTGGGCGGATCGACCCCTTTGGCCTTATTAGGATAACAATCGATTTAGAAAATAAGCTAGGGAAACTTTGGCATTTTCGCTGTTGTTATTGGTAGGTCGATAAGGCTGGGGGTTCTTTTGCATTAGCCGCTAATCTGTGCCTGTTAGGTCAGTATACGTTCGCTTGCGCTATCCAATGGTGCATACTGCTAGTGTAGACAGTGAACTGGCCAACACATGTTTGCGTGGCAAGAGCGCGTCAACAAAGGCAGAGGTTCTAGGAATTTCGTTGTTCAAGCCCCGTCGTATAGAAAGATGTTTTGCTGTTTTCATTTGATTCGCTGCCGCAGTTGTGTACCGATAGCAATTCTTGGCCTGCCAGAGGACATAGGATCAGCGCGAACTGTGGTGCGAATGATGAGAGCATACGGGAATGAGGGTGATTACGTATCACTAAAAGACAATGACCTTAGCCATAACATCCAGTGATGTCTCTGCCCTGGTTCGCCAAGGTTATTAAAGGTATAGGCGTGGGCTTCCTCGCTAGCGGTTGTGCGTCAACATAGAGTATGATCTATAGTGATGGATACGTCTAGGCGGAACTAATGATGGTGCCAGAGGGTAGTCACTTTACCAACGCGGTACCCGAGTGCGAAGAATATAGAAATTTTCATGTTGCTAAAATGGAAAAGTACGAATGGCCTAGGAAGTGCGTCGAAAAAACGTTTTGCCAAAGTAGAATGTAATATATAATATTACCTGAAAATAATCGATACTTGATATAATATGATGAATACTTGATAATAATAATTGGGTGCTTCCTAGTGAAAATGGCAGATACTAGATAAAACCTGCATTTGGTAGACATCGGGAAGGAATATGTAATTTCTGAGATCTGATTGAAAATCCATTTCTATCTTACAGGCATTCAATTATGGAACACTTGGCAAAACTCCTTAAACACGCTGCGCAGGGGTTAAAATGAGCAGTACAAAATGACAGGACTGAACAACATCAATATGCATTAAGCGGTAATGCTACGAGTCGAAAACCGGAAAGCGGACACAGATCAAAGACAACCATTGATAAGTTTAAATGATATTACAGGTTTTTCTATTGTTTGGTGGTGACAGACAGATCGTGCCATCTCTGCTCTTCTTGCGATAAAAATCTCCACAGCAACTAAACAAATGTTTGTTTGTTACGTAGTGTTTTTGTATGCGTTAATTGATCAGTACAATGTTCATACACAATGGAAGATCTATCCTCGTATGCATTGAGATGGAAAAAATTTCACGAAGGCTGGACGTAGTGACTTGGCGCAACTTCAAGTATTACCTGCGCTCGAAGGTTGGTGGCATAGTGCTATAGCCATACAGAAATTCTATCGATGTATCCAGCGGTTTTATGGAAAGTGGTTGCAACATAAGCTTTCAATCCAATGGCCTAATCATTTGAATTTAACGCACATAGTTGCGTTAATGTTGTATCAAGTGGCGAAACCTAGCGGTCTATTGACGTCAATGTACTCAGGAGATACATAACTGATACATAAATTTGTCTCATCTTAGTGGGTCCGACCTCAGTGTGAGACGGCTGGACGACAATCTGATCGGAACGAACGATTTTACCATTACTGTTCTTTTGCTTTTCGATCATCGAAGAGGGAAGGACCCGCCAGCCAACTGACAGACCTGAGGCTTTGCTTAAGATATATAGAAAGCAAGCTACGCAGGAAAGTGTGCAGGACCAAGCAGGCTTAGCCACAATAACAGCCATAGGAGTTGCAATACCGGCAGTCTCGATGTCTAGCCTCAGCCGCAGCGACTAGCCAATGAAGGGCGATTATTTTTCTTTCATGCTCCATGACAAGCATCCAAGCGTTTCCATTAAATGATAAAAGAAACGTTTTTGCTGATGAAACCCTAAGCCCCGGCCGACCGTTTATGCGACCACTAGCTCGCTCCATCTGACTCTAGCAAAAAGCAACGGTGTGATGTTAGCCGCATCGCCGTTCTTTCCTTTGCAGCCATTGCGTGCCAAACCAATGTGAATGTCTATGTCCCCGCCTAACCTAAACCCACAGTTTCTCCTCGACCTCCTTGCTACCACCACCCCCCAACCTTTCAATACCCCTCTAAGTCCGTTCTAGGCGTTTCCTTATCCGCTTTTCATTCTTTGTTATTTGCGCAGTGACCTCCCCGCCAGCCGTTGACCGAGTCCTACATATAGCGCTCGACCACCGGGACGTCCGTCCTTTGTGGTAGCATTTCATTGCAAAGTTGAAGGACCCAATATACACATGCAGGCGCACGCACGGCTGCGGCGACGGCTGTAGCTTGGGCTATCTGTATGAACTTTGCACCCGCCGGAACATCACCGCAATCCAAGTGCCCACCAGCAACAACACGCAGAGGAGTTTCCAGCGCTAGAAATCGTCGTGGACCGGACTGTGGATGACCCCTCGATTGCGGATAGGAAGAAGCGGTAAGTAGCGCATAGCGGGGACGGCTGGATACTCTGGGCGGCTATGAGTGGCAGTGGCATTAGCTGTCTGCCGCGAGTGTCATGCCATCCATTGTGCACAAGCGAGTTGAGAAGTGAGATTTGGGGACCCGTGTGGGACGGCCAGGAAGATGGGGATCAACGAAATCGTCACGATCCATCATGCAGCCAGCGGCAGCAGGGAAAAAGAGTTAGCCAGTAGCGAAAAAAGGGACAGGAAGTGTTGGCCTATTTTCCTAAAGCTGGCTCTCCTTCACTTCAACGGCGATAACACTAATGGCAACAGCTCTCACTCAACTTCGGAATCGTATCATGTGATGCTACATGCGGTCACACATCCAGAACACAGAGTTAACTATCGCTCAATTCATATTTAGTATAAGTAATCACAGTTTCGATGAACGACTGACAAAGCATTCGGGCGTTCTTCGACCTATATGCAGAAGCAGGTCCACTAGACGAAAGAAACGAGTGAATGGCTGTTTGTTTATGTTGGCACTATCATATTGAGGAAGGATCGATTTAACCTGACTGTATTTTAGAAGGACTCATTGATGTCAATCATATTATGTGTAACTATTATTTCTAGAATAATAACTATTAGCCACGACAAATTGTTGTCGTTTCTAAATTTGTCATAGCTAGACCGAACACTTTCAATCGGGTCGGTTCAAAATCTTCTTAGACAGAGTAAACGATCGCAATGCGGTCAACGACCTGGAGACTAGAGTAAGGCCTTACCGTCTGCATGATTGTGCCTACATACGGAACCTACCTCTTTCTTACCAGCTCCATCATGTACTTAAAAAAAACATTCCGATAAGAGCAAAAACGGTTTACGAAACAGAAGAGTTCTTAAAGAATTCATCAGTGTCGTCCAAAATAAAATGTCATACGTCAATATGATAAAGAGCTCCTTTTAGAATGTTAGGCCATTTATATGCATGTTGAAAAAGGCCATACGCGTCTCTCAGCAAAATTGACCAATGAAAAATTAACGGACAACAAGTGCCAATTTCTACTTATGATTACACGGAACACTACGAGCGATCGATTCTTCATCGACAAGCAAGCTATACAAACGTACCGCAGGTCCTAGTCTCAACAATCTCGGTCGCCAGTCCAAAATACTGGCAATAAAAGGCTAATAAGGTTAAACTGCCTATCATCAAAAGAACACTGTATTGTGTAAGGCTGTCACAACCGGTCAGGTTTGCTCTTGGAGAAATCAGCTCAAAAGAAGAGTATTTTGGTCTGAAAAGTAGTGATGAAGTGTTTCTTGCTCAAAGGTCCCAGCGCTGCGGATATTCACGGAAAATTGGTGAAGGCGTCAGGTAAGAAAGCACAAAGCGTGAATGGTATAAACCAATACGGAGATAATGTAGCAAGACTGCAAGTTGGGGCGTTGAAGGCTAGCGAGGAGATGATCACATATCGGGAGCCGAGGAACACGAAGGTGTTACTGCAATCGAAAAGCCTTTTCGCGAAAGCAGACCTTCGGGTGCAGGAGCTTTGTCGGCTAGAACCGGCATAGTACAAATTTATGATTTAACTGAGTAAAACACGGGTTTCCCGGCTATTCGAAGCCGGTTGTAAATTTATGCGTTATATTCCGCGTGCAATTTTGACAATTTTAGCCAACAAGAAAGTCGCCATAGACCAGATATAATCTAACGTCTATTGACGGCCGGAGGGGAATCACAAGGCAGAATTGCGTTGCCTTAAAGAAAAGTCGAATTTGGCGGCAGTACCGAGTAGGTTTGGACATAAGGTAAATGTAGACTCTACTCGACATTAGGGACCTCCATTACTGACAAGTGCTCGCTGATAATTGAGCAATGAATGCGGCCCGCTATCTCGAATTCGTCAAAAGATTCATGACCCCTTGGCACGGCAGTTGAAAGCTCATAGTCTGGTTGCCTAATGACAACGTCAGATCTCCCCAATTGCTCCGTGGATTGTTTTCTACATAAAAAAAAATAGCTCGTGTTGACAAACGCATTTCGAAATCTGCGTATGTTTGCGAAGTCTAGCGAAGAATATATCTCTCGAAATATATGTCAGCTCTAAGTAGAATTCGGGATCGTTTCAGATGTCAAGTAACCTAAGATGGCATTCTGACACGCTGATCAGAATGTCTCCACGTTACACTTCATTTTAAAGCATGACAATAAAAAGCAGACCTCAGAGCGTATCTATTACAAAATAGTTCTATTGTTCACTAGGACGTATCTCTTTTGGCTGAACAACGAGCAGCGAACACGTTTTTTCATAAAGGAAATTATAGAGAGGCTACAAACACGATGCCATACTTCGCAGGTTGCGTTACGTACGTAGTCTTCTATTAAAAAACGACAATTCGAGCCAAACAATAAGTTTTTAAAAGTCGAAAGGGAAGTGTACAATACAAATCAAACATTTTAGTTACATTGCCCCATTTTGCGCCGTTACTTCCGCATGTTAAACCTGCATGTGTTCGCTGCTTTCAGAGCATAGCTGGTCTTATTTGTACGACGAACCCGTCCAATGTGAGGGGTATCGTATTTGATTGTACTGATTCCTTTCAGAGGTTGTATCCAGTCTGCAATGAAAATGCCAACAGATGAAACGAGGTAATCACTGATATAACCAGCGAATCGATCAAATCAATTTATTAAATGTTTTTAATGATTGAATTGAATCCAAAAGCTTGTATTTTTGCCACTGGCACTGTGGGCTTTCTGTAAGCGAAGCATTATAAGCAAGACGGCTTATAATGAAATGGTCTTCTTTTACTTTCCGGCCAACCGAGGAGTCCAAAGCAGGATAACAAATGTAAAGTAGAACTAGCAATGGTGATCCTACTAAGGAACTCGTTGATCTTATTTCAGTAGACAATAATAATAAACGATAGTTTACGACGCCTTAACGATGGTCCTTCGAAAAAATTCTTTTATAGGAAAGAATTGTGCCGGACGTACTTGGCAAATGTTGCATCTACCACTCTAATAAATATATGTTTCGAGTTTTTCCTTGAATTTTTAGGAAAAAAATTATTGAAAAATCGTCCTAACCTATCGACAAAAAGGGAGCGCTGCATCACGTAACAAAGGCTGAGTGTTATCGATGACATTTTCCGGCCGATGAACGTCATCAATAAAATCGACTTGTAAAGTACTTCATCGAGAAGCAGGTCCAGTATTGACATTGTTATTTGTAAATAAACTGTGTGTTAAGCAACGTCAGAACGCTCATAGATAAAATGAGATCTTATTATACGGTAAACCATAGCAGTGAATTGTTAGAAAGGATCAACTTGCAGGTAATTGTTAATAAAACAGGTTTGATATATATTTACATTTTCGCTTCAATTTCAGGTTCTAGATTACTGTAGTCTAAATTTTTTGCTCGATCATATTCTGGGCAAAAACATTTTTTCTCAAGCTGAATAAAGCATCTGTCTTCATTCGGGTTGTATACATATGCGTATACATAGTTAGAAAACTGAACCAGTCAGCGTAAACTATGATCTTTCAGTATCGATTTATACTACCGGGATATGTTGGCAATTGTGCTCGTGATCGAAGAACATATTTGAGGCCAAGTTCGATCTTCACGTTTGCAACGCGTAACTAAGACCTGGCACTAGTTATTGCAGTTCAGGGCGAACCACATATACCCCCATCGAGAAGATGATTAATATCGCTACATCACCAGCGTACTAGAAACTTGACAGTGTGTTTCATCCATATATTTATATATATATATAGAAACGTTTTCTTTATGTTTTGGTAATTGTAAAAGGAGCGTTGTTTTAGCTTTATGAGCGCGATGTATATAATCTTATTATAGTGTTGGTCGTTTACCTGTGATATTCTGATAAAAAGGAACGCAACTTGCAAAACAGGGTCCAGTCGCACGGTCCGCTTTTGATTAGCCCGCCTTCGACCTGTGTAGATAAATACACGGTAATTCACGTTCACTATATATGCTTGTAAAAACAGGTCTCATGTATTTTACAATGATGCCATTGCTTCGTCTGCTGTGCCTCTGGGTAACCTGAGGCAGTTCCTTTAAACTTCTCTCCAATGACACTTACGCACAACTATTAAGGTTTTTATATGCAAGTAAATCATTATCGATTACGTAAATATTGATAGGTTTTCTCCTCATGGAGTTACGCTAACTTGACCCTCACAGGTGGTTAAGATACGAATGCAAATCTACTGTCATTTAAATAGATCAAAGTTATGATAGAAATGGTACCGCACGCAAGGAGGGCCCCTTATTCGACTCTAGCGGGCTTGTGTTACGTACAAACAACCCGAACCCTCATATGTCCTGCTAACTTGTATGCAGCGGGCTATCCGGTAGTCGAGCTAGGGTAAACATGGAACTTGTTTCGAGTGAAGCAATATGTGAGAACTAAAGTAGGTTCTTTCTAATGAAGGTTTTCTGCTCCTTTACGTATCCGATACTCGGACAAGCTCACACCTGCTGAGACATCTGTCATTCACAAAGCGGAAAAGGAACCTTCGATTGCTGTTTGTTTGCACAGAATATATTTGGTATACTGCTGGTTCTTCGCATTCCACAACTTCTTCCCAGTCATTGCGTAACCCTTACGTATGCAAGCATATATCTAGAAAGGATGGACCGTTAGAGTAAATGAAGCTCATCAATAAAAGTTGCTGAAGTAAGTCGCAGCAACTTTGCCTACCAGGCAGTTGGTACACAGCAACGTGCCATTCGTGGTAATAAGTTAGGCCTTACGTGTTTTCCGTTTTCGTAGATGATCTAGCTCGTTTACAAACGCACATGTCGATTCGCTCAGAGTACGGCTACTACTAAGGCTTTTCTAGCGGCTAGTTTGCGTCAGTCTATTTTCTGCAGCCAAAAAATGACTACGTATTAAAGAGGGTGTGCTGTGATTGCAGATCTTTCAGCCACACTCGAATGATCATAGGCAACATAAAAAAGAAACTATTCAAAAAGTTTTTTGATTATGTCTATTGCTTTCCTACCATGAGAGATGCGGAGGTACGAACTAGTACCATCCATGCTGCTGCAAATATCCACAACACGTACAATCGAATTATCGACAACTATAAAAAGAATACGGTAAACATTTCTATAGATTCTTGGCTCCTGACTGCGCCAAATGAGGATCTTCTCCTTCAGTTCGGTCCTCCTATCTGGAAGTAAAAACACATTGTTTTACGGAAGATTGTACTGGCAACAACTAAAATCATAATGACTCATAAAAATAAACCTGCACATACCGGGAACTGCGTGATTACCGTTAGGACGTGTCCTGCATATTACAGGTATCATTAGAGACTAGGCCCTACTATAACAGTAATAATAATAAGGCTCCGGGTTTTCCGTCCAGTTTAGTTTGCTCTGAGTTTGCGGCACGATGACAGGTTATTCTACATAGAAGGCCGCTTTTATTTTCTGTGAATCATTTAATTGATATAATATATTACTGTTCCATTCGTACGACGACCCTTTCAAGCTGTTATACGGCAAAAGAAGTCCAAGATCGAGGCTTATGTTTGGGTTAGGAGCAGGGCATGATATTGGCCTGACGTAAAATAGCTGACAACGCCCAAAGGAGCCTAAGGCTTCGTAATCGATACAGTGTGCTAGGCGACAGACACAGCGGTGCCATTTAATTATCAGCATTAATCTAACGATCAACAAATGATATACCACTAGGATTTTTTACGGTAATGTTTTGTCTGATAAAAAAGATAAGAAATCGTATTTGATTAGTGCCATCGACGGAAAATACATTAAATAAACGGATTTTAATTTTTTTTAGCAAAGTGTTACAAAATTACGCTCGAGAGAAACGTGAAGAAAAAGCACCCGCCAAAGCAGGTAAAATCATCGTAGTGCCCATTTTGTACGGTTATAGAGATGAAGCCCTACGCCTTGAATCATCAGGAGTGACATGCCGTTGTCTTACGGATATCTTTCTCGGTGCATAACGTAATGCATAGCTTTGCTGCACTTAGTGGGCATAAAATCAAGGCATAAAGTGAAGCGTAGTCAAAGCGCCCGGGTGGGAGGTAACGGCAAGCGTTAGGGTTTAATAATGTATTAAAGCGGATGTTTTATATAAACACAACAGGGAACGCATGAGAGGTCCAGCTGTCGAGATCGTTGTAATATAAGCAGTATAAGACCGCCATGAGGTCGAGGGAAGCCGTGCCATAATATCCCAATTAGCGACATAATACATAGGCGAGTTATTGTAACTGATCAGACCTTGTCCCTAGAGCGACTCCAGGAGAGGAACAATGTCGAGGTAATATATCGAAGCCCATAAAGGCGGCATTCATTGTCAGCCACTTAGATTTCGCTCCTGAATTCGATATCGGGATGTCGAAGAGTGACGATCTGTGAGCTAGCCTCAATTATCCATTAGCTAGAGCCTACTAGGACTAGGTGCAAATATCATCGTATCTTATGAACGGTAATTAAACGCTTGGCATCGATACATTTTTGTAATGGTGACTGTTGTCCACGTTCGGGGTTAGATCAGTATGACATAACAGCCAGTTTGTTTGAAATAGTCAAGTGTCACACGGTACCTAATTAAGGCTTGAAAACTTTTACTTATCCTACGTCTCTGTGGTAGCATCAGCGGGTGAGGAGGAGCGGCGGCTTAGGGTATAATGAAAGTAAACTATAATAGTTGAACAGAGAGATAACTTTTGAATAGATAATAGGGCAAGTTATTAAAGCACTTGACACGTGCAGTGCAACACCAACACCGCTTCAGGATCATATGCAGCCAATAAGGGCAGAAAATTTTCTCTTGCTGCTCATTCGTTTTTCCCTGAAGGCCAAAGTCTCCGTTTGAATATCAAAGCAATTTCAGCCCTTCTAGAGATTATAAGCATAAACACACTGTATATCGAGCCGCTAGCTGCCTGTCTCGATACACAAGAAATCTGTAACTTATAGAATTCCGGGCTCAACACGCAAATAAGGCTTGCTAACTGCTTTTCTAGGCCTGTTGCGTCGCTAATAGAGGTATGTCTATTATTACATATTGGATTCTTTAAGCAGTCTATTTTCAAAGCCCTCTCCTTTATGGACAGTTAAATGAGCGTATCGGCAGGCAGTCATTCACGATAAAGATGGTTTGTTATTGAATTGAAGAAATTTTATTGGGACAACGACCATACATACATACATACACACACTGCGATATACTCCTCTCATCTCTAACGCCAGCAAAACAAAACATCATTTGTAAGAACTTTTTTCTA